ACATAGGTATACTCCCTTAAACGAAAAGCCCAGGGTTCTAGAATCCCGAACAACTGCGGGTGGAAGCTATTGTACTCAAGTGTCGATATCACGATGCGCGCTCAGTTCGGTGTTGCTGTTCTCGTAGAACCCAACCTCGCAGATAGAATCCTTGATTGGAAGCCTGTCAACGGAAGGGTGGAATCATCTGACTGAAGCTATAACAGGCTAAATCGTTGACCTGTTTAGAGGTTATTGCGCTCAAATTAGAGGCAGAATATGATTTCTTTCCTGACGAAGTGGAGTGTGCTCTGTACCAAGTGCCAAATACGGAGTCCTTCATTCTCATCGGTGATTTTAAAGCGCATATCGGAACAGACATTGAAACGTGGAAAGGCGTAACTGGAAAGAACGACCCGAGCAAACTCAACAAAAACAGGATGAAGTTGCGGCAATTTCGGGCAAACACCTACTTCAAGTATCGAAGTGTGCATCATATTATTGGCATAGGGAAACTTCTGTACAGAATTCGATGACTGATTTGATAATCGTATCATCTGATTTAAGACGCTCAGTAGTGGATGTTCGCGTTAAGAGAGGCGCAGAGCTATCAACTGGTATCACCTTCTTGTTGGCATGCTACACTCTAAGAAACAGAGTGCCATACGAAGATCCGGTGGCAGAAGAGACCAGAGAATCAAATGGGAAAAATTATCTTCGGTGGACACGAGAGCAAAATTTGTAAACAACATCGCACGACGGTTTGAACAGATCCCAGTGATGACAACTGATGTGGAAACCGAGTGGCAGCTCTTTAAGAGCGCCATACTCGAGGCTGCCGCCGAATGCTGCAGATTCAAATGGGTTGGCCTGCCGCTGGAGGTCAGAAAAGATCTTCCTGCTGGACACTAGAGATACAACTGGCAGCTAATGAAAAGAAGGCTGTAAGCAAAAAATGGCTGGGAAACAAAGAGCCTTCTACTCGCATTCGATATGCTGAAGCACGCAAGGCGCCAGCGAAAGCGAAAGTTGATTCCTGGGAGAAGTTCGGTGAGGTGTTGGAGTCGCAATTCCAGACAAAAGACAAGGCATTTTGGAAGAGCATCTGCTGACTCTGAGGTGAAAAGATGGGTAGTGAAAGAGTCTTGAAGGACGTGTTTAGATACCCTCTTACAGAAGACGAGAACATTCTCCGACAATAGATGAAGTTCGTTGACTCCCGAGCAACCGCAGGAAGATTTGCCTGTAGAACAGCAGGGAACGGATATTACTATTTTTGTGAATGAAACTGCACAAGCTGTGAAAAGTTTTGAAATGTGGGAAGCCTCCTGGAATCATTGAAATCCGCCCTGAAATGCTCAAAGCATTATGCAGTCAATATATGTGCTGGTTTACACATGACTGTCAAACTGCAATGGCTACGGGGAAGGGACACCAGCGGACTGAAGAACGGTCGTTGTTATCATCCTGTACAAGGGAGATCACGGGGAGTGCTCCAATCATCGGGGCAATACATTATTGAACCTCCCAGATAAAGTCTACACAAAGGTGCTATAAAGGAGGTGCTGTAGAATAAGTGACTCCGAGAAACAGGAGGAGCAGTGCGGCTTCCGGCCGGATCGAACAATCCCGGACAATATATTTGCCCTGTGCCAGATTGTTGAGAAATTGTGGGAGTACGCCCAGCCAGTGTACATGTGTTTTGTGGACCTAGGAAAAGCGTATGACCGGATCCCACGTAGCAGTCTGTGGTCATGGCTTCGAGCATATAGGATAGCTGGCCAGTCTGCTAAGGGCCATCCAATCACTGTATTCTTATAGCAGGTTCTGCGTCAGAGCAAATGGCTTTAAGTCGAAGCCTTTCAGCGTTGGCTCTGGTCTCCGCCAAATATGCGTTCTGACTCCAATGCTGAGAATAGATCGAAAAGAAAACTATCATCACTCCGTCCGTTTAGACAGCATCGCTTTCAGATGCTTAGGAAACAATTAAACTAGCGACATAACAACTCATCATCTCATCGATGTACCTCGTGTGTCATTTCTGTTGGATCAACCAGTACCGTGATACTTCCTAGGTACCTTAGCAATAACTACATTATCCTAAATATTCGAGACAATAGAACCAACTTCTTGATATTGTTGACAAAGCACCGGAGAAGCGGGTCCAGAAGTATCATCGGTATCATTTTAGTCGAAAAACAAGATGAACGTGTGCACCTTCAGATGCTACAACTTTTATGAACCCGCGGCTTGCTTAAATAGCCGCTAGACATCGGAAAATGGACGGCTTCGCAAAACCAGGTTTGGAGTAAACATGGGCTTACAGTATATTCCTGGTAGAGGAACCCATGCGTATGATGCTGCTCATAAAGAATATAACACATTCTGCTAGAGAAATACCAGTAATGATCAGAATGGTATCGCTCTAGCCATTAAAAGACGCGAAATGCATCGATGCAATGCAGGTGCTAAAATGTAGTAAAGCGGTGATCCGTTTAGCTGATCCGATGTCAAAGATATCTAAACCTAGGATAGGAGCGAAGAACAGCTGAGTAGTTGCAATCGTGTTAGTAAGTTTGCCAAAAATTCGAGAAATATTTGAAAATATTTCCATAAAAATCATTACATCATGTAATTTGCATTTTCCGGAAAGTCGAAGCACAAAATGTCTTCAGATTGATCAGTGCCTAGTACGTGATAAAAGAGCTTGTGAAATTCGTTCTTCGCCGTCGAAGTTCCAACAGCTTCACTTTTGTGCTCAGGAAACATCTGAAAAAAAAACAGAATGAATGAGCTGCTAAAATCACAAAACCGCCTCTTGACTGACCGTATAAAAAATGCCTTTGTTATCGATCGTCCAGGACAACGTCGTATACCTGAGCTTCACTAGTTTGTCCGGCAGCTGCTCTTCGGAAGGTATTTTCATGAACTACAATTACACAGCCTTTAAACAGGTCATTTTCATGAAGTAAAACAAAGCAAACTATATAGTTGAAAAAAAGAATTGTCACCAAACGAGGTACAAACCGCAATATATTAACTTTACTATACTCAGTGATCAATCATTCCTCGCTAATGTTTGCCCTGAAATACGGTGAAAATGAAAATATGCTAGAATCTTCTATAAACTGTAACACCCCCCCCAAATAGTGTAGTGATCAGACTCTGAAAAATGGCCCATTGCAGATCTGCCTTCATTCACACATCGCTAGAATATTTCAGAACAATTCAAATCAGATTGTTCACATAGATGCACCTATTCCATCTATTCACAGAGATGCACCGAAATTTCAAGGCATACGCTTGGATAAGAGAGGATTGCGTTTATGCAAATTTGGCCACAACCATTGCTTTTAAATGCGTGATAGAAGGTTTACACCTAAATGGCTCTGTTCAGCACGGATACTACAATGACACTGAAACAGATTTCGGCGGCAATCTCTGAGTCAAACAGCTGTTTGTGCGAATGAAAGTGGACATAAAATTCACCACTCTCCGCTCACACATGAATCGAATACCAACACTACTGATTATAGTAGTAGTGTTGCAATCACAAATAACAGAAGCAATCGGTGACTTCCAAAACCTACTCCAAAAGAAATTCACGTGAACACACATCACATATAACAGTTACGTAGGTAACAGGTGCTGAAAGCCGTAAACCGCTGTGATGAGATCACTCGTTGTCAAACTGCTTTTGCCGAAATAAGTACTTGGAATCCATCGAACAACGTATTAAAATACAATACCAACGTATAAATAGCTATTTGACTATACTGTAGTGATAACAAACATATTTTAGTCTTTGACAGGTCAGTACCGTTCAGCAGGCTATTAGTATACTGCGAGTAATACTGCGCGGTTTGTCATTAAACAATCTGGCATCGAAGACTTCAAACTAAGTAACATTGACTCCGTATGGAGAATAACGCACGGTACAAACGCATCACATCCTCTATATGAAAACTTTTCCAAGTACATGTAGACAGCACGTATCTGTGAAATTGCAACGGGTACATTGAAGGCACCAGAGGACTGACAAACGGCGTTTTAATACGCCCACTTCAAGCACAGAGACCCAAAGGAGTGCTCCATCTCTAGGGCATTACCTTATTGAGCTTCCTGGGAAAAGCATGCGCAAAGCTGATAAAAATGAGCTGGCGCAGAATAACCGAGTCCAAGAGAGAAGAGCCGTGTGGCTTCCCGTCCAGCCGAAGCACATTTGACCAGATATTCGTCCAACGGCAGAGTGCTGAAAAATCGTCAGAGTTCGCCCATCTGGTGTATATGTGCCCTGCGGACCCAGAGAAAGCCTATGACCGGATCCAGCGCAACAAGCTATTGATGTACCTGCGAACACATGGGATTTACGGCTAGCTGCAACGAGTCGTTCAGTCACTATATGTTGTTAGCAGGTGCTGCGTCAGAGTAAACGGCGTTAAGATGAGCCCTTTAGCACTGGTACTGGTCTCCGCCAAAGCTGCCTTCTGTCCCTTCTCCTGTTTGTGTTGCACAAGGATAGAATAGTCAGGCGCAGCAAGGAGACCAGTATTTCAGCACAGGAAATATGGAGCCGAGAAATCTGCTGTTTGCAAACGACCCCGTTTTGTTAACATGTTACGACGCTAATCGACATCGATCTCTGGAAAGGTTCGCTACTGAGTAAGAAATAAACAGTATGCGGGTTAACATATCTAAAACGAAAAGCCAGTGCTTTCTCGTTCTGCTGCTAGTTGCGCTCTGTAGATAAGCGAAGAAACAGTAGAGACGGTGGAGAAGTTAACGCACCTCGTGGTCATGTTTACCGGTGATGGGAAGAGATTCACCGGTGAACTGGAAAGGAGAGCGGTGTTCTGCTTGAACTAACACGAACCACTGTGACTAACGTAGAGCTGAGTCTGAAGACTATGC